GGATCTGCTAGACCTACAATATGAATGTTGAAACTCCTTTCCATGTTACCGATCGCGAGTGTTTGAGAGACCGGGAATTCCGAGAATATTGGGAGCGCACGCACTTCTCTACACGCCCCTGAGCCAAACTCCCGAAATTCCCCTATCGAACGGGGCGCGAGCGTGTTTGTCAATGGGGCATCGGGCGAGCCTTAAATGACATTTCCCACCCTTTTCGTCGTTTTGGCCCGCCCACGTGTCAGATTATCGAGGAACCTGGCGTCGATCGAAACGGAATATCCTCCCTATTACATCACGTTACCCTTCCATAGCCTAACGATCGCTCCCTGGCGTGCGATTGCTCCTTATTGGCGCGACCCACCTTGCTCTGAGTGCCAGCCGAACCTCGCCTACCGGGCCGCAGGGTTCACCCGACGAACCCTCTCAGAAACCGAGCGGCGGGCACACAGTCTTCGACTGAGGCCTCCCACGTCAGATTCTGAAAGTTGTGACGTTCGTCGACAACAATTACTTAGACAACGACACAGCCACAACGTCCCGCTGGTACACCAAATACGGGATAGACCCAGACGACGAAACCCACAGGGATGGTGATCCACCCTCCGAGGTTTAAAAGGTTCGATGCGACATAGCATTGCGCTTGCCATCTTGCATAGATACCCCTAGAGCTTGCCACAGAAGATCTCAGTTCCGACCTGTGACTCCGCCCCCATTTTCCTAAAATCCTTGGCACACCCTTTTCGCACTTCCAGGCCCCCATCCCACTCCGATCAGGAAGTCGCGCAGGGCGTGAGGTTGTGGGCGTCACAAGTAAGCGACAATACTTGATTCTAGCAACTTTGTTAATTCACGGACGGGGCAAAAGGGAAAACACTCAAAAGTAGGTGTTACTTAGGGGAGACTGAGACAACCAATACCCCTTCAGGAGGGCCTAGGGCCCATCAACCATGGTTCTAGTGCAATTCCCTTTACCGCCGATTTTAACATCTGTAATTTGAGGCCCTCGGTTCTGAAAAAAGAGCTTCTGGCAGACCTTCAGTGCATAGCTTTTGCTGGTTTTCTCCAGTCTGCCCAGATAATGGACTGAACATTAGTAAGGACCATGCTCATTATGCTGAGATCCGAATGAAACTTTGTGCGGAAAAGTCTGTCATTGCGTAGCTTCCAGATTACGTCCATGATGGCCGCTCTGCACGTTGAGGCCACATAAGTCCAGCCTTTACCCACCTCTTTCTCATTACATAGGACCCAATCCACCACAAAGTTTTCTTCCCATTGCATTTATTCCTCCACATGTTTGGCCAACAACCTAGCCCACCACTACCAAATCCGTTTGGATTCTATGCACTCCTACCAGAGGTGGGTGGCGGTCTCTGCTTGAAGTTCCTTTTTGCACCGGCAACATGTTTCTTCCACTGACATGTTTTTAGTAGCTAGCCATTTGGCTGTAGGGACCACTCGATGGGATTGCAGCCATGAGAAACTACTGAATTTGGCCGAGGAAATTTTCCTCAGTTTTTTTCGGAGTTTTCTCAAGGTAGTGGTCGTAACATTCCTTGTAGGTTGCTGTCTCTCTGCCTGTTCCATTGTCCATTTATTCTTAACTTCCGAGGGGATGGAGCATGACCTCATCTGACACTGGTAACCCACCTTAGGCCTGTAACAAAAGAGTGGGATCTCTTGAACCGGGTCTGAGATCCGCCATCCCCAATGGAGAGGGAGGTCTTTGAGCTTATGAGCAGGGGTAGGGCCACTGGACACAATATCTCAAACTGACCCTTGGTCCTCTCATAGGTACACGTCACAATAGAGGCGGTGGAAGAGTCCAATACAACGATATCTTCCTCGTGTGGTTGTAAAAACCATGCCTCTCCCTCTTTTTCTAGTACCAACGTACCAGACACCGCAACCGCCTCATTAGCATTGATAAGTTGCTGGATTTTCCAAAATTCCACTGAACCCTCCACATCCATTTTACGGACCCACTTCCCCTCGTACACTTGGAGTGGGTCTGACAGAATGAGTTTCCAAGATGGTGGTATACTCTCTATCATCTTGTTAACTCTGTCTGTCACATTATGTAAGTAGACTTGAGTTCCTCCGGTGATCTCCACTGCAGAATGTCTGAGTTACATAAATCCGCCACTCGAGAGACCTCCCGTTGAATCCAAGCCTGCCCGAAATGGCCAGTAGCATCCAATGCTGACCAAGGAAGGCCCATCTTGTCCACAATCATTATATTCTCGAAGATATGTTGGCCAAGGATTTCCTCCCTAGCCTCAGACTCTGTGATCTGGGAAGGCACCACTTTCAGCCATGCAGCTAGGATGTCTTTCCAAATTAGGGATTTAACTGAAGCCTTCACGAAAGAGGGGGTCAACAGGGCAAACCACACATCCTCTGGTCTAAAAAGAACCCAATCGTTTTCAAAATGTTAATTGCTTGATCCACCCAAGGGTGTTGCAACTCAGTGGCCAGCATCTGCACAATCCAACGGGTCAGCAAGGCATTCACTTGACACTTTGGGTCAATATGCCTAAACCCCCGTCATTAGGAGAGCCTATTACTTTCCTTCATGCAACCTTTGCTATATGTCCCAAATCCTCATCATCAGAGCCTTTCCACAAGTAACGTGTGGGAAGGGACCTAATCCTATTGTACACCCATTTTTCGAGAGATCTTCTAGAGCCTGGATACCAAATGGACGAAAAGACCGACTCGGAGGTGTTAAGAAACACAGCTCTCCCGAGAATGAATGTCCCTTTGATTGAAGCCACCTTGCCAATCTTAGCCGCTACATTCCTCTTGATGATGACGCTCACTTGCTTCTTGTTATCTAGCATACCCACCTGCACACCCAAAAACCTCTCACAATCCCCCATCGGGAGACATTTAAGCCCCCAATCCACTGTTAGCTTGACGTCTTGCCTTAGAATAGCAACCGATTTGGCCCAATTAACAAGAGTTTCAGAGAATTTAGAGTATAAGTCTAGATAGCCTTTGAGCGCCCCTAGGGAGGCTTCAGTATTATTAACCGACAGGGCAAACAGATCGCCAGCCATGGCTGAGGCCTTCCATTGTTTCCCCTCAGGTAAAACAAGACCTTGAATCCGGGGGTGTTTCCTAATCAAGGCAAGTAAAACTTCCATCTGTAAAACAAACAACATTGGGGCTACAGGGCAGCCTTGGCTAAGAGAACGCAAGAGCGGAAAAAACTCAGATAATTCCCCATTAACCAGCACTCTACCCATTCCCTTGGTGTAAAGAGCCCGCATCCAACAACAAAAAACCTCTCCAAAACCTACCTGTTCCAATGTATCCAACACAAATTGCCAGTTGACTTTGTCATAGGCCTTTTCCAGGTCAAGCAGAAGTGTCACTACTTCAGGTTGATCGTATTGCATCGTCTCTAGTGCCTTTATGGCCAATAGGATATTATTCATAATATTTCTGCCCTTAACAAACCTTGCTTGTTCTATACCAACTAAGCTAGGCAGATATTTTTTCAATCTTATTGCTAACGTTTTAGCTAGGAATTTGTACGATGTGTTCAGTAAAGAGACAGGTCTCCTGTTTCTTATATTTCTTTTGTCTCCCTTTTTGTATAGCAACGAGATAACCCCCATCCTCATCTCATACCCAGATCCTGACCCTCGAGTAGCTTCTTAAAAATAAGAACTAGCTTCGGACCGAGGATTCCCCAAAAGTTATTGTAGTATTCTACAGGTAAGCCATCTCATGTGTGGCCACCACATCCATGGCCTTATTTACGTCGCATAGGCTGAGGGAAAATACTTCCTCTCTTGCCTCTTCTTCTGGTTCCACAAGGAGTCTTCGACGCTCATTCTCAGACTCCTCAATCGTGAATAAACCGGGATTGGGCCGGTTTCTTATACTCCAGGGACCCGTGTTTTGGCAAGTAACTATCTCATAGTTCCCGCATGCCGAATCACACGGGATCAGGATCAGAGTTTTGTCGTGTTTGTTGAACATCAACGTCTCTGTTCTGCATAGGAACGACCTTCCTAGGAAGATGGCATGGTCTACGTCCGGCATGACGAAGAAGGAAGTTTTGGCCTTCACTCTCCCAATCTCAATAAGCACGTTTGATGTCGTTCCGCAAAATACTGCCTTGCAGTTGGCCCCGTGCAGAATGCCACAATCCGAGCGGTCTATCTCTAGCCCGAACATGGGTGCATCAGCTTCCTTGATGATATTTATCTCCGCCCCTGTATCCACCATTGCTGCGCACTTCGATCCCTTCACTACCAAATCCACCATTCCGCAGGCCACACACTTTCAGTCCATCTTTGTCCCAGTTTCCGCCCATTCCGCCTCCTTTGGCAGAATCACACTTAGATGGACACTTGACACCAAAAGTCGTGAGAGTCTTCCCTTAAGTTCGTTACGGAGCTCAGGAGCGGACACCAAGATCTCCTTCAGGGTCATAAGGTCATTATGACCCTCGAGCAAGCTATCAATCACCCTTTCCACATCAAACACTTCCTCTTACCGGACCACATACTTCTTCTTCTTTGGCGCCGCATCGCACAAAATTGGTTCGGCTTCCTCCTGGGCTCCTCTCTTCTTGGCCCTTTGATCCGCCCTTCGATCCTCCTCTTGGCGCAGCCTATCATCTTGTTCATCTTCATCGTCTTCCTCCTCTACCTCCACGACCCCTTCCCTTCGTTCCGGCTATGGCTCTCTCCGAGCGGGTTCTCGGTTGGCACTTGCCTTGCTCTGGCCCCTGGTTTGTGCTGCTTGCGCCATTCTCCCTTGCATAGTAGGGGCCTAAAGGTCATTCCGGACCGAGGGTCTGACCCCACAGTGGCTACTCCAGGGTACCCTTGCCGTCCTGGTACCGACTTTGGGCCGAATTCGTAGAGGAAGACATTAGGGATGCTGGTCCTCCATTCCTTTACTTCTTCACGTATATCTACCAACTTTCGTTAGTATCTCCCCACTTTCTCCCACAAATCCTCCATCTTTCCCAGAAAGACTGACGCTGACTCCATCTTCTCATCCGCGTTCTCCCCCTCCGACTCGACGATTATAGGCTTTTCTTTTATAGCGCCCGCTTGTGGCCTCTGAGTCACCTCTTCATCACACTCCACCTCTTCCACCCTTATTGGTGGGTCGTCCTTTCCCTGCCATGGCCTGAACATGGCGGGTGGCGCTTGCCGCGCAACTACTCTCCTGTGAGCTTCCACCCTCACTCCGCCTGAAATCTTTCGATCAATATACTCCCTGTACTGATCATATATATCACCGTCCATATTGGAGTAGATCAGTCCAGACTTCTCATGTTCCCGTCTTGTATCGCAGAACCGTATTGTATAACCTTGCTTGTCGCAATGCTGGCAAATAACGGTCCTCCAATCAAAACGAGGCCTTCCATATCCTTGACCCTGTTGATTCTTTTGGCCTTGGTAACCTTGGTTGTCCCATTGTCCACCTCGACCACCGCCATTCCTGCCACGTCCTCTTCCACCACCTTTTCCTCCATTCCCTTGGTTGCCCTGACCTTGATTTCCTCCCCCAGCCATGCTACCTTGTGAACATGACGCAGGCCATGGAGGTGGCACCACGGGCTGGGCCTGTGCTGCAGGATAGCTTGGCAGCGGCATACCCGCTTGGGGCCGTGCGTAGGGTACCATCTGTCCGGACGGTATTGGACCTCCCCATGGCACAAAGGTGTTAAACACAGGCCATGACCACTGCCCATATGGTGTTACTGCCGCTTGCGAGGGTCCCGCGCTGCTTGACGAAGCCGCCGTACTTGGCGAGGCCACTGCCAACGCTTGGGGCGCCTGTCCCTTTCGGGAGCCTTGCCCTCCTTGCGTCAAATTGTGTTGTTTGCGCTGCGTCTTTAAAAGGTGCTGGGGCACCGGCTCCTCCTCTTCCCATTCCTCTTGAATGACCTCCTTTACCACTAGCTCCTTCCCCTTTTGTTGGATCGTTGTCACCACTTTCTTTTGTACCATGGCGTCTTTCCCATAACCCAACTATGCGAGTACATCTGTAACGATCCTTTTCACCCCCGGGGTCCCTAAGGAGGTCGCATCTCGCTCCTTCCTTTTCCGCCTTTGCGGGCGCATTTGGTATTGCTCCATCTGGTCCAAACTCCCCTCTTCCACACCCTTGTCGATGGTGGCCCAGGTGAGCTTTGTACTTCCTCCTCCGTGGCTCGTCAATTCCACAGCTTCCGAGGCAGTGAACGTCCCACGAAGATAGCACACTGTGTTTCTTCCAAGATTCCGGGGACCTTTCTTGCCTTTTTCTTAAACTCCTACACAAGGGCCCCGACTGTGGTGAAATCATGCCTCTTCATTGCTTCCGAATCCGTCGTGGTTAACATGTCATCACCCAGTCTGTACTTCCTTTGCAAACCATCCTTGAATCTCGCCCAACTGCTGTTAGCTGCATTTATCACCTTCTCTAGCTCCTGGTGGTGCCCATGGAGTACGTACTTCATAATACGTTGGAACTTCACCGCATTTGATAGCCCCACCAGCGCCTTCTCAACCAGTTCTCGCCATTTCAAAATTCGCTCGCCATTAGAATGAAAGGTGTTGACTTTAGGGGCATTGCTCTGCAACCTCTCTTGCCTGTCCAGGGCCTCGACCAAATCATAAATTGTCAGGACCTTCCGGCACCATCAGCTATACCTCCCGACATCTTGGCCAAATCTCTTACTCAACTTCCCTGCTAAGAAGAGGTAGAAACTTTCATTCAGCACCCTGACTTACCATGACTCCTATTCAAGTTTCCTACATAATCACTCCGCAGTCTTGATCTAACAATGCTACCCGTCTCTTTCTTTCAAGTTTGACCCCATCTTACTAGGACCCACTTCCTTTATAGGATTTCCCTCATAGTCTTTTAAGTCAGGCAACCAATCAAATCAAACGCAAAATTTATTATATTAATAACATCCGTCTAACATAGATAGTCAAACAACGCATTACGTACTCTACATTGCCTTATACGCCTATTTTCTTCTCAATCCCATACCCGAATGTCGTTCCAACAGGGACAACTGTAGGCTTCCGTTGTCCCCGGCAGCGGCGCCACCTGTCGAGCACATCGGTCCCGCGCTGCGCAGGGCGGGACCCTCCCGACCACGTCACGTAGGAGTTGGTCTAATCCTCATCGCGAATACACATGGAGCTTCCGCAAGCCGCTCCGGCTGAGTGCGCCAGCCATACCTCTCGTGAGCCCCTACGACAGGATAGGGTCAACGCGAGGCACGACTTACCTCCACCTTACGGGAGTTATCACCTCCCTCGGTGGGAGTATCCCCGTTGAGTTACCAGTCCACAGTACGAAAGCTAATCATCTACAATCGGAGAGGTGGACCAACCCAGGGCGTTTCTCGTTTGCTGTAGCATAGGGGGTACGCACGGTTTTACGTCTCTATCGGACCCGCACGTGAACCGACGCGTTAGGGGGCTGAGGTCCCAACCACGACTCGCCGTCGGTCGACTAGGACACATCCCACTTACCACGCGTTACACCACTATAAGAACATAAAAATTAAAACACACACACACGAAACGACATAACACAAACAAAACAACGATAATCCTTGTCCCTTCAGTTACCATCCCATAACCTTCCGATGAGGAAATTAGATAGGCGACGTGCGTGAAACTTAGTATAAAACCGTGCGGACGCAGGGCCTTCTCATATCGACTAGCAATGCATGAACAAGCAAGCAGTCGCAATGATGGCGTACTACGTAATGCCCATAATCAAGCGGTCCCTCGTGGATCCGAGTACCGCTTATGACACTCAAGTGTCAAACTCGAAGTATCGTGAAGGTCACTCCTTCACGATATTGCACGGCTGAAGGAACAGTCGTGCGGCCTCCGCGGCACCTCCGGCCTTTAGGCTGAGAGTCCCAGTGGACAGGGCAAATAGGCTCTGCGCAGGGGGTGATTCCTTCCATGCAGAGTCTAGGACCTGGGATGTCCTGGACAAGGACCTCGAATCCAGGCCCAGGACCAACGTCCGACTAAGAAATCTTTAAGAAGTATACAATAGTATAGAGGGGGTTTCCCTTCCTTTCTCAATTTCGACCCGATTTTGACCCTTAAGCGTGGACTCCTTAGGCTACGCAAACACCCAAACTTAGGTATGTACGTAAATATACATATATATAGGGGAAATAAATATGTAACGATCACTTTTGACAATCACAGTGAGACTCCTCTCATCCATACATATGTATGAGATCTCAGGCAGTCAAATCCAGAGTCCGAACCACAAAACATACCTGCAATCACATCAAGGATTCAGCCAAAAGTCCACGCACTACACGGGGTCAACTCCAACCAATCTTTGCACTCATACCCCTCGCTTAAGTCATGCAAACGCTAACCTTCGTTCGACCTTCCATAATAAAATACTCAGTACCTTTGTTAAATGATCATTCAATAAAAGTCCGGGTGAAAATCTTAATAAAACAGAACAAACCACCGGGCTAAAGCCTTTAGGTTGAGTAAGGAGAGTGAAATGCAGTTGAGTCGTAAATCGACGAATCGACAACCAACTTGTTATCATTGATAACCAAAGATGATCCTCGTGGGATCAAGTTGAATCTAGTCCAAATCCTGAATCAAGCGAATAAGAGAAACCGTGGCATAAGACAGACCAATCCCTAGGCTAAATTTATGAGTCTATGGAGAATAATCTTCATATCACGATCTCACTCAAACATCGTTCTTAAGTAACTAAGTCTAAATTCATCCATAAGCAGATGGCTAAAGAAAAGCTCAATCCTGGCAGGATTTTCTCTATAGACAGTGAATCTCCAGGATCGCCGCATCTCAAAATATAACCTATCTCCTTTGAAATAGGAAAATTTTGGCAGCGCTTCCCGTAGGACAAATGCCTTTTCAGAGTTTATACTAACTTGAATACAAAATTGAAATATTCCGTAGTTCTGTAAAGTCAAATTTTATCTAACTCTCTGATTTAGTAGAAATTTGGGCAACACTCCCTTTGAAAATTGAGACTTCCGAGATTTATAGTAAGTCGGATATGAAACTCAAAAACAAAACTTGAGTTCAACTAAGAAAAAAATTAACCAACTCCTTAGGATTGTAGAAATTTTTGTAGCACTCCCTTTGGAAAATTGTTATTCCAAGATTTATACAAAGCTAAGTTCAAAATCTAATATGACTTTGACTTCTTAAGATTCAATTTTGTCTAACTCCCTGGTTTAGCAAAAATTTGGGTAGCACCTTTTTTAGAAAAGAAGACTTTCCATATTTTTACTAAGCCATATATAAAGTTTAGACAAACTGAACGTTGAAAAGTCAAAATTTCACCAACTCCTTGGATTTGTAGAAATTTCGGCAGCGCTTCCCATAGAGAAAGTAGCTTACAGAGAACTATACAAAGCCAAGTATAAAAAATGATCTCAGAAAATGCGCAAATTGACCTAAGTTTCATCTACCAGTTCACATGCAAATATAAGTAAAGATACTTTCTGTTATACTAAGTTTATACTTATGTGCGTGGTTTTCAGGCAAAACCATTCAACTTAGAAACAATACTTAACCTTAGACTAGAAATCCTTCCTAAGAAATAAAACAAAAAACTGAACCATTCAGCTTAGAAACAATGTTCAGCCTATCCTCAAAATCATTCAAAGCATGAAGTTGGATTCTTTAGCCCAACTTCAGTCAGAAACCCCAAAAGAAACAGACAGACCAAGCTATTCACTTAGAAACAATGCTTGGTCCCAAAGATCACTCAGGCAAACCCTCGAAAATAAACATAGCAACCAGGCCATTCAACTTAGAAACAATGTTTGGTCCTTCAGAAAACAGTCAAATAAACATAGCCCTGGGCCATTCAGCTTAGAAACAATACCAAGTCCTTGGTTGACCCGGTCAAACACATGAAAAATGCCTTCCTCCCACCTTTCCCCAGTTCATCCCTTAGTCTGTTTTCAATCAAAATAAAGAAGAAACTTAAGCTTTTCACATGCATTCCTTCCATTCAGTCTGATTAGATCCTAAAAAGAAAGCAAAAGTCATAGGGGAACACATGCATACATCAGTCGAACTAGTAAGAGGAAGTAGTCAATCAGGGGTATAGTGGGGTCATACAGATAGAAGGAAATATACCTGTTGGTTCCCTGCCTCCAAAACTCCTCCTGAGTTCTGGCAGAGCTCCCGCAGTTGGTGGGTGGACTCCCGACAGAGCCTTGCTACGGTCCTACGAGTTGCAATCCCGCCTGCCGCCTTCCTCTCAGAACATCAGACGAGACCTAGAGTCAGAAGGGCAGAAGAAGAAAGCTGAGTCGCTCATATACAAGAAGGGTGCTCTCAGACTCACGCGAGAGGGTCTTGGTCCCTTGATACGCCTGAGGGCCACGCAAGGGTGGCCAGAAACGCACAGCAGCTTGGTCAACCTAAAGTCAAATCGGCAGTTGGCGGCTCCCTGACTGCTTCTTCGAATTGTAATAAAACCTTCCCCCTTTCCACAACTCCTACTTTGAGGTATAGTGGCCTTAGATAAGTCTGCACCTTCGGGGTTGTCTTCTTGTTGTTCCAGCTGAAGGGATGGGTGGCGGCGCGGCGCACTGATCAGCAGGCAAGTTTCTAAGTTCGCAGCTCACTCGCCCCGCCGCTTCGATCGATGTGATGGGCAGCGCACCTGCCGACAGGTAAGTCTCCAGCCCTGTGGCTGCCTCCTTCTGCCTCGCTTGACAGAATGAACATCGAATCTGTTGCAGGCAAGCCTTTAACTTCCGCGGCTCGTCCCTCGCCTCTTTCACTCAACGGGATAAGCAGCGAATCGTGTGGTAAGCCTCCGCCCTCGCCCCTCGGTCTTCACTACTCCGCGCGGTAGGATCGGCAGCGACCTCGACAGCAGGTACGTCTCCAACTCTACGGCTGACCCCCTCCTTATCGTTGGAATGAGCAAAACCCGAATGGATCTTCAGTTAGAGAGCGGAAAGGTACATTGCCTTCCCGAGATCATTAGGATGGGCAGCGCACCGACCAACGGCAAGTCTTCGATTCCACTGGTCGCTCCCCCACTGCTCCTCAGGCCGATGGAACATGCAGAATCCGAATGAATCTTTCTCTAGAATGCGGAAAGATGCATAGGCGCCTTACCATTCTTTCTCCAGGTGCACCCCTTATCTCTCAGATCTCAAAACCTACCCACTAATCTCTAAATTTGACGCCGTAGTTAGATTCGCCCCGATCAATAACCCCCAACCCCCATCTTCCCTTGCTCGATTTCGTTAGAAAACGAACGAGCTATGCAACCTTCATTCCCGCTCACCTCTCCTCCCACCATCGCCTAACGCATCCCTTCTCTCCGTAGCTCCTAGCCTACTAACCTATCGATAGAACTAAAACTAAATTTGAATTCGCCCGCCTCCAAACCTTGAGTTAAACCCCCTCCTTCACTAAATCCGTAGAGAAGCGAGTGAACGGAGCGTTTCTCCTCCTTGCCATATCTACTTCCTTCAACACATGCGCGCACGCCTTTTCTCTATTTCTTCACTTTTTACTCACTTTCTCGCCGTTCTGGTTTCACCAACAAATTCGCCTCACCAAAGGACCCCTATCCAGGCTTCTCCCTTGCCCGATCCTTTCGGTAATCGCGCGATCTACCCTTCTCCCGCTGCTCCTCATTTAGCTCCCCGCCATTTTCAACTTCCTCCTTGCTTCACATGCACTTAGCGCATATTCCCGTTTGTGTTGTCGTCTGCGGTATTCCGCTTCAGCGCAATCCCTCGACCACATAGCAGGTTGCTCGACGTCTTTAACCACCTCTGAGGAAACTTCGAAGGGAAAATCGGTCAATAACCGATCCGACTAGTTCTTTGCCTCTTTACCCATTACCCAAGTCCAACGAACACCTACCCCATCAATACTGCTACGGCTTCCTCCCGAACCCAACAAGTGCTAGCACCCCAGTATTGATGCGATCTCGGTCACAGTGCCCAGTGGCACTGCGCCCAACAGTACTGCGCTGGTACCCGGCTCCTTTCTAAAGCTAGGTTCAGAAAAGCGCAACCTACTACGCGAAAGTCGCCTCTGAGCACAGGTTGCGCTAATCTTCTGTGTATCGTTCCAATTTTAACAGATGTCCCGAAGGATGCAGGTGGGGCAAGCCTCCGCGGGACTATCAGGAGGCTGAGCGGCTCCCGGACCCAAGTTGCGCTCTTCTTTTAACGGTCGTGGCTGCAGTTACTGAGCCGGCCCCGCTAATGCCACAACAAGTCTCGAAGGGCCAAGGTTGCAGCCACGGGCTTAAAATACCATTATCGGCATTGGCCGGCCTCAGGTAAATTAGAAACGTAGTGTCTTACTCATTTGCGCCCACGGAGCCCGAACTCAAGCCTGCACTCCAACAACTCGGGGGTGTATCAATTACACTAGGCCTGTCGGGTTGAGTACCACGCCAATCCCGGGCTTGGCATCGAAACTGGTCCATGTCACTGAGGAAGGCGGGAAATAAAATATAAATAATAATAGATAAAAGAAAAAGGAAAAAACGGGGGGAGGGGGGGGGGGGGCGACCTCTGGCTCCACCCTCGTTTCTATCGATAGACCCTCGTCGTGCGGCAAATAATAAAACCAAGGGGGATAGCCACGTTGTGCCCTCAACCCCTCAATTTCTCATAGGAAAGGAAAACAAATCAGATCACTCATCAATTACCCAAAAGAAAGAAAATCCGAGTTAGCCGCAAACAAAAGATGGCTGGCGCCAATCGTCAAAATTGCACAGATGAGAGAAGAAAAGATAACACCCCAACATGTTGGCTCTCTCTCTCTCTCTCTCTCTCTCTCTCTCTCTCTCTCTCTCTCTCTCTCTCTCTCTCTCTCTCTCTCTCTCTCTCTACATCACCTCCGATGCGGGCAGTGCGTCGCCTCACATCAGCACAGGGTTGTCACCCCGCTTGGCCCGAGCATACCAGCCAGGTTCGCCCATGCGCCACAGTCCGTCGCGGCCCGCACGTCAACCCCGCACACTCGGCACCAGCTCATCGGATCGCCCAACTCTCTTGTCTACTCACCTTCCGAGCGTACTTGTTAGCTGATCCTCACTAATCATGCTAACTCCAAATTCATAGAGAGACAACTAATCGCTCTTGCGGAATGTATAGCATGCATGCTTGCGCGAGAAACCCGGGATTATGCCTAAGTGAGAGGAAGGGGAAGACAAGGAAGTGCCTACGTCTGCATGGCCAGGCCGCGGTGTGGGGGACGTAGCCACAGTCCACGCATCGATCCGGCCATGCAGTCGCTCAGGCCAATTAGGATGGAGGACGAGGGATGCGCGACAAAGAGGGATAAGGCGGGAAAAACATGAGAGAATCAAGAAGAAGTTCAGTTACAATCGCGCCCGCCAAAAATTACGGTTACACACAAGATTAAGGGTGTGATACAGTCAGAGCCCAGTCCCCACCGCGGCGAGAGGTGTGTAAGCAAGAAACGTGGTGCAGCTGAAATTTCTAAGGTTTCTAAATTCCTGTCTAAATCCTAATTTACAAAAAGAAATTCTAAAAGGAAAATAATTTTGAGAGTCCGCGGGGGCTCGACATCAGTTTGAAAATTTGAAAACAACGTTCCCGCGCGACGATCGCGCCAAAATTCTCAGTTCCCACAGCAGAACAAGAAAGAAGTTATGGCAACAATTGTCCTTTCATGCCCGCCAAGGCGCGGTCGTCTTAACTACTTACCCGGGACTTTCCCGACCCTGGTCCGAAAGTCCGAAAAGAAAGAAGTGAGGGTATCCATGCAACTTGCCCGGCCGACCCATCCCCATGTTCCTCGCCCGACCAACCCGTCCGAGCCCGTGAAGCAGCTTCGCACAGAAAGTCGCGTGGTTACGGAAAGCAGTTCGCCACATACCTATTAATGGTTCTAAAATGACCCATTAGAAAATTGGTGTGGGAGTACAGGACTTAGAGACTAGGTTGTAATCTGATTATCTGGCACCCTTATGGGTGATGGGTCTGTGAGTCATCAATGATTTTGGATACTACGGATACAAGAATTTGTGGTTGGGACGTTGGACCCGCTTTCCAACAGGTGCAACTCCCCACCAATAGATTTGAAGCCATCAAACAGTCCAGATTCCAACCCACCAGGCGCTCTTACAGCCTGACGGGTAGTTGTCTGACATGGATGTTATGAAAAAAAAAAAAAAAGCCCTAAAGAATTCCTCTTAGGGTCGGATCCCACACTACATACGGTAAGTAAAAAGTACCCTTTGCCCGGATGGCGCCGACCATTTCCCTATAAAGAGGACAGGTTTTTATGGTTTTTTTCTTGGTCCGTGTGCTGGACTTGGTTCGTCCATCGTCCCTGCAGCAGGTGTGTGGCAAACATGGCCACAGAGCATTGCGTGCCGGGCGTGCTGGACATCCCCGACACACAGGCCGCTGATAATGTCCGCTTTTTGGTCCATGCAGAGACCCGCCAAACGAAACCAAGTGCAACCGCCCGAAAAGCTCCACCAACCCCGGGGTTGTGGAGTCCCCGTTTTCTTTTACGGCCCGAACGGCCAGCCTCCAGCTTTTTAGTTTCTTTTTCAATTTCTTTTTTTGTAAGTAGTGTGGGATCCGACCCTTATCCCCTGCCAAAGCACTTGGTCGGATTCCTCATTTATTCCTCATTTCTTCCGGTTGATCAGGGTCAGAAAAATCGAGACATCCACCTGCCCAAGGCGGCAGCAACGACGTGAGGGAGGGTGTAGTATCGCGGTGCGCTGCAATATCGGGGGGGGGAGGTGAGGTGGTTGAGTGGCTTGGGACGCACGGAGGACAACATGAAGGATGGTGATGAGGATGCGTAGAGGTTGCTTGTCTGAAGATGTTGGTCATGGTGCCACGTGAGGAGAGGTTGGCGACGATGTCACATGAGGGTTCATGGTTAGAAGCTTAGTCCCCTCCGCTCTCCTTCATCCATACTGCGTGAAGTGGCAGACAAAGGGTTTTGTTGAGGGTTTGAATCTCCAATGGTAACTCGTCGACGGGCTCGACGAGGCGTTACCACACCATTCAGTACTTTGTAGGGTTGTGGATGGCCGTTGAGTCCTTTGTTGCTGGCGTCGACTTGGTGGTCGGCAACTGCGGCTGTTATAGCCTGCAGATGAAGGGAGGCTTGATGTTCCCCTCCCAAAGGTGGTGAGGGCTGGTTTGAGTGATGGTAGGTGAATGAAAGGGAGGCAGAGGGAGTTTTTCGAAGGACTGTTCATTGAGAATAACACTTCAAGGGGGAAGGACGACATCGCCATCTCAAGTGAAGTTTGCTACGGGTGATGAAGGTTTGCGCGTCGACACGATCTCATGGTTTCTGATTTGATTGATTTTGTATTGTCTGCTTGTCCTTTCTATTTTGGTTCCTAAGTTCGCATGTCGTAACTCTTGATGCTCATCAAATGATAATGATCAAATTCAGAATTTCTGAATTCGTCTTCTCTATTCTGATTCCTAAGCTTGCATATTGTAATCCTTGATGCTCATCCAAGGACGACGAATCTAATTCAGATTTATACTTTCGAGTGAATCTTAATTGTTCTAATTCTGTGCTTTGATTTCCTATTAATTTCAATACATCGTGTTCTGATTTCCTACCCCTGATATCAATCACATATCAACCATAAATTTGAGTGTGTTTTCCTTATTACATCTCCTGATACCGCATATCAACTATAATTCGAGTGTGTTTCTTAATTACATCTCCTAATTAATTTCCCTCGATTCTCATACCGTGATTCGGAAATCAGATTTGAAAATCCTTTCGGATATACAAATCTAAAAGTCATCGCATATGTCTAACTCTTAATTTGGAAATTGTTTCGTCTCTTGATACTGATACTTATAAATCAGATTTTGGATCATAATCAAGCATGAAGTTCTCATACTCATAACTCGGATTTCGAATTCTAGTCCCTTTATTTTCATGACTTAACTTGGTTTTTAATTTGGATTACCCTCCCGTGATGAGTTAGCTTTGGTTTGGGGTAGGCAGGTGAAGGTTCTGATCAGTTTTGGAGGTTTGGGTAGGGCTGGTAAGTTTCAGATGGTGGATCACTTTCGGTTTTCTTTTGCGAACTATGTGGTGGAGGAGGTCGGCTTGTCGCAAGAGGAAGCCGAGGGTTGTCCACTTTCATTTTTTCTTCGTCTCGCGAACTATGGGTGGAGGAGGTCGGCTTGTCGCGGGATGCAGTTGAATAAGGGGATTATGAAGAGTGTTGGTGGGGATCACGTGTCTTTTACTTGCCTATGGAACAGGCGTGGGACTGAAGTGGAGAGGGGAAGTTTTTTTGGTAATAGTGCGTCCCACTGGTGAGGAGGGCTAGCTGGCGGGATTGGATTAGGGCACAGTTGCAATTGAGATGGTGGCTGAGCTGTTGTAAGTCTGTGCCAGAAGGTGGTAAGGGGATGGGAGGTTAGGGTGCTGCGCCTGTTTTGCGATGGATTGAACTACTTTTTCCTCCTCCTTCGAACTATGTGGTGGAGGAGGTCGGTCTGTCGTAGGAAGAGGAAGAATTGAAGTTTGCTTTTCATCGCTATGGGATTTTGGTGAAGTCATTGGTTGGTCTATTATTCTTCTATCCCGAACTATGTGGTGGAGGAGGTCAGCTCGTCGGGAGATGAAGAAGAGTAG